CCCATTCACCCCCCAACGACAAGGGCGTGGTACCCCAGGTTCCCTTGTTTTAATTTAAGGTCAGCCCCCCCCCCCCCCCCCCCCCGACCCGCACGCCCGCGCACATCCCTTTCCGCTTTGCGGCCATCAATGCAGTTCGAGGGAGAGCGGATGACGTCAACCAATGAGCGACACTGCGTTAACAGCGTCAGCGTCAAGTTTCAGAAGGGTCCCATCCCAGAGGGCCTCGAGGAGGACAAGGTTGTTTGATCAAAGAAGAGCAAGGTGGTTTGATTGGGGAGAACAAGCTGGCGTGACCATAGAAGAGCAACGTAGTTCGATTAAAAATATTGTTGGGTTCTGTGTGCTCGTCCATTGGTAAGACTGGTCGGTTCGTGAGGCAAGTGGGACACCGATCGGGAACTCGGCAGAAGGTCGTTGCTTGAGGTCATTCGGTTGTTGGATTTCTCTTCAGAGAGCCTTGGGAAAGGACAAGATTGGTTGGAACATTCGGTGGGTGGGGGCTATGGACCGCCCAAAGGCATCTCGTTTCATTGTCAGACAGCATAAATACAATCACAGAAATAGACTTACGTGTTTGAGAAAATAGATGCCACAGTCGAAGGGGAGGTGTTAAAATAGCGGTCTTGTGTATTGCCGCGCCTGTCGATGGAGGCGAAGGACCAAACAGGCTCTCATAAGCTTCCAGAACGTTGTGAATAGAGAGGAGCTATGAGGGATGCGCGGGCGGTAGTTCTGAAGAGGGGCTGCAAGATTTCAACGCTTGTTGCGGGAAAGTATTTTTGGGACAATAGAATCGTAGTAATTTCTGGTATCACAGCAAGCAGTAGAGGTAACTCGGGCAGATACTTGTCGCGACGACACCCGTTTTTCGGCCTCCTTATGCAGCAAACAATTTCACCTTCCTGAACACGAGGAATGGGCTTCCTCCCGCCGCTTCTCAACGCGGACAGACAGCTGTCTTTGCGCAACAGAGAAGTGCACACATGCAGCGGGTGACACTCAACCCCCCCTTGCTGCGAAGGCTTCCAACACGTCTATTCCATCTGAGGGATGCCTTAAGTGTATGTTCTCAGGACACAAGCAGAGGGTTTGGCAAAGACGTCTTGGATTTGCACGGTGCAGCCGTTGCTGCCTGGATTGGACAGAATAGCGTCTTTACGGCAGGATCGCCACGAAAAAATGGTTGTCTCTCGTCCCGGGGTTGCTTGTAAGGAACGTTCCCCAGAACAATCCCTACATCGTCTGATCACACCTCCGTACTGTCCGAGAGCCCGCAAGGAATCTCAGGTGCGTGGTCATCCGACAACAAGATGGCCTGCCGGAAGAAAACACCAACGAGCCTGGAACCTCAGCATGGACTTGTCCACGGCGATTGAGAAGAACCAAAGTGCAACACTCTCCTGTAACGGCATACATAGAGCCACGCAGAGCGTCACACGCTTACGGCCAAACGCCCCGCAACCTCACCACCGCTAAAAAAAAAAAAAAACGCGCGCGCATCGACACAGAAGAAGCAAAATCACGCGTCCGCGTAAGCGCCGCGCCGCGGCAGGCAGAAAGCGAACAACGAGTATCATACCACCCCTCCTCTCTGGCAGAAACAACGTGATCAGAACGGCATAGGAGACCTTTCGAACGAAAATCTGCTTAACATGTGGGAGAGAGATTTCCCTCCCTCTTCTTCCAGCAGTCTCTTGCTGCACGGTACCAGGCCGCACCCTCCCCTCAAAAACATGGAAAGCGTCAGTTGCAGTAGACCGCCGTTGTATAACAACACGAGAAACACGAAACAAAAGGAAACAACTACCCACGAAAGGTGTACTACTGGTCTTTGCTCCAGTGGACGACGGTATACAAAAGCCGGCGACGTATAGCCTAACGAAACACCGACAGGGAGTGCGAAAAAATAAGATGGGGCACACCAGCCCTCACATGCCTAACACAAGAAAAAATGCTCTCTCTCTTTCCTCTTGGACGAATTATTCAGCGATCCATGTAAGCGTGCATGTATGAGACCAGAAACAGAACAATTCTGTGTTGGAAATCTCGCGAGCATTGCCGACACGAAGAAGGCGGAACAACAACGATCCAAACGCAAGGCGAATAAAAAATGCAGCAGGTAGCAATAAACAATCGTTGCCTTAACACAAACGGAGACTTGATAAACAACAATGGAACTCAATAACGTCGACACAGTAAATACAGGAACCAGATCGAAGCGCACGAGCCTTCGGGACCAACGCATGACATGCGTCTCCCCCTTAGGAATGGAATATATGGGTACCCCCCCCCCCCCCCAAACCCTCGCCCCTTCACCCCGAAAAAAGGCTACCCCTACAGAGTGCAACAACTGAACACAACACACTTTTTATCGCTAGAACGTGCTGTGTGATGCCACGTGCCCCCCCCCCCCTCTCTCGTTGTATCCCTCTACATTCCTTTCTCTCCAGTATGGGGTACGGGAATTCGAAGCAGACAACTCACATCACAATCGTTGCGATAGACATAAAAGGCAACTGAAAAAGTTTGAAAACGACAGGCATCGAAAATCACGGCAGTTCATACGGAACCCCCGTCTACCCCATACTCCCGGTGCCTTGATATGTACAACAATGGACGAACTTGAGAGTAAGCGCCATACTAACATTGCGTGACACTTGTCAGTGAGGGAAAGTTGGAGCTCTCCCCAGCCTAAATTTTCCTTTTACCATAATGTATCCCCTTCTTCGCAACACTGGTGGGTCTATGAAATGGAAACACACCACTCACGCGATGCCAGGCGGCACGAAATAATTGACAGCAGATATGCAAAAAAGTGTAGGAAACATTTTTAGGACAACAAATATCCTCATCCTGCATGGTGAACCAAGGTGCAGCCCGACCAAATCGCGCCCAAAGCTCCCCCCCCCCCCCCCGCCCCATCTCTCTTCTCTTGCTCTCTTCTCTTGCTCTCACCATTCGACCGCACCGAAAAATGAAACCGATTGCTCCACCACCCAGCGCCACGGCAGCAACGAGCCCTCCGAAGCATAAAAAATCGCGCAGAGCCTCTCCCCCTCCCCTCCCGCGCCCGAGGGATTCCCTCTCTAGAGAGCTTTCGCCCCCCTCCCCACCCCAGCCCTCTCACAAAAACTCGTAGATTTTATTGAGAATAGCCGCCTCATCAAGGTGAACCGCGCGACACTCCCGAACCACCGACGGCGCCGCCACCGCCCCCCCGTGGCAGGGAGCACGCCCTCCGCCACCGCTGGAAAACCCTTGGTCCTCCTCGCCGCCCTTGAGGTGAATCGCTTCCGTTAATGGTGGGAGTGACCACGTGCGAGAGGACGAGCGGGACATGCCCGATCGGGACCCACCCGATGCTCGTTGCTGTTCGTGCGTGCTGGTTTTGCCTCGTCGAGTGCCGGGGTCGCTCCGCCGCTGCGAGACGGCGAGCCCGACCACCAACCGGCGGCATTCTCGCCGCCTGGCTCGCCGCCGCTCAGCCTCCTTCGCGGCCTCCATCGCCTCCGCAAGAATGCTCCACCAGATGACCGCCCGGCAAACGCGGGCGTCCAGCACGTGTGGGTTGCGCTTCATTCTCCTGCGGGACAGGACGGGGGGCGCGCGGGGGGGGTTGAATAGGCCGTCGAGAGGGCGTAGCCTTCTCGAGATAATTGGATGCTTGCGAACGTAGATTCTATTCTAACTGCCTGTGAGGTTTCCTGCGGATGTCGTGGGCAAGTCGTGGTTTTGGGCGATGAGCATTGGCGGGTGGTAAAGGATGCAGCCCAACCGGCTCGCAGCACAAAGTAACTCAGAGGGGTTGCGGAAAATCGTCATGGTATGTACTTCCTCTGTGACATACTTCCTCTTTATTTAATGGTTCATAATGGTTCATATTTTCATACAGCTGCACCTACCTGTGAAGGTCGTCCAACCGGCCCGATCGCAGGGTTTTCAGGACGTGGCCCACGTGATGTGCTGTGAACCACACCTGACAGCAGCAATTGTAGAGTTCCGGCCCAGGTACAAACAGTTGCGGCGAGCACACACAGAGGGGGGGGGGGGGGGGGTTCACGCGACTGTAGATTTTTCTTTGCCGTTTGGCCATTGACCTCGCATCGGCCCTTGCCTACACCACATACTTGTAGAGCAGCCCCCGGAATTCTCGCGCTCGCCACGCGTGTGCCTCAATAACTGACTGGAGATGCCCTTGTCCCTTGCATCCGTGTCATCGCCTGGTGCCGTTACCGACCGATCTTGGAGTATTATTCTTGGCTCTGTGGCGACTTTTGGTCTCCTACAATTTTCTCCAATGTCGTAGTATTTCGCGGTGGCGGTTTGTTTCTCGCATGGGGCTTGAGGAGAGGGGTCTTTTTTGTCGATACTTGCACTCGCAATCGGCGTCTTGTGGAACAAACGGCTTGGCTAGGTGGCACAACTCTCGTCGCCGCTACCGAGGGAATACATATTTTTTGGGCACCTCCTTGTACGTGTGTCCATGCGAAACCGCTGGAACTCAGTCCTTTTCTGCAACACCTCGTCCTCCAACTCCCCACATAACTTGTTCTGCCTGTCCTATGTTAGCACCATTAGCATCCAAACCTTCGGCACGTGTGCACTTGCCAAGGTATCAATACCAATCCTGTTCTTCTTGCAGTAGCGCGAGGATGCAAGTTTTACGAACCGGAGGTTCAGGTTTTTGTAATTTGAGAGAATGCCAAGCAACTGGGCCCAGCCTCTAGCACCACACGAAATTAAGCCCTGCCGATATGCAAACAGAGTACAGCAGTAACCTGTGCTCAATGTTGGCGACAAGATGAGATCTTAAGCATCGGCCCACAGCAGTGCTTCTAGCAGCGCCCGCTAGTGCAGCGATCATGTCATGAAGTAAGATGATCAAGGGGCTCGAGCTTCAACTCTACCTTGTACATGTCTACGCGGTAAAATTAACCGTCTTCTCCTGTTGTCCATCACCAAGTGGCAGCATATTCAACCTATTGTCACATCGTTGTGGCGCTATCTTTACATACAGTAGACTGCTTCAACTGCGGAAAGTGATGCATTTTCGTCCGCTTTTCGACACATCAAGCGAGGGAGCGTTGAATATCGGCCGACATAATAAAATCCCCGCCTGCTTTTTGCGAGGTTGAACTAATGGGCGGATCAGATCAACATGTAACGTCGTGCGCGAAGGAACGGAATCGTCATGATCAGAAGAAAACCGCGATGCACTAAGTCTATGCCATCGTCGTCGGTCTTGTCGTACAGCACCATCCTGCAGGAGGTATTTAACTCCTCACTACTGCTGTACGACTGCTGTACATAGAGACCAATACATTCAAGAGACTGCTGTCGAAGAGGAGAGGCCAGTCCTTTGGTGCAGACTCTTGCTGCCTTAAAACAATAAATTACGAAAAATGTGTGTCTTCCGCGTCCAAACTGTCAAAACCACAGCAGCAGCAGCAGCAGCAGTGTGACCTTCTGTCGGCATGCCTCTCGACTCTCGACTTTTCAAGCTGCAGGTCCGAGTCTCTGCGTCGCCGACCACCCTTTCCGCAGACACCCAAAAGAACATCATCATGTGCATACAAGCAGTCGCAGTCGTGCTCGGAACCTGCGTAACTTGCTGTGTAACGGATACGCGAAGGATCGAGTTTTGATGCGGTGGGGGCTGCTGTGACAGCGTGTGTGCAGGACGTGTTGTACAGGGACGCACATGCTCCCTTCAAGCTATACGGGGTGCGGCGTCAGTTCTCGCTTGGTGTGAGCCATCAATCACCTGCGTGACGCCCAGCATCGTCGAGCACGTGTAGCCCGGTAGCCGTGTGTGCGGGTCCATCGCTCCCCCTCTTCGTGTCTGAAACACCTCGCTGGGATCGGGGACACGGCCGGCGCTGCCAGCTTGTCTCATCCTCGCTGTACACACCATGGCTGTAGGACGGGCGGCGTCATAAAATGCGTTTAGTCAAAGAGTCTCCGGTAGCAGGTGGGTTGACAGAAACGCCGAAGCCAGCGCTACGCGTCGCAGCAGCGGCAGCAGCAGTAACGAGGTGCGTACAGCAGTGGTTCAACAACAGTGACACGACGACGAGGCTGGGGTGTGTCTCCGCCGGCCTCGCATCTGAATGTGTAGCATACAACACACCATCTCATCGGAAAATCTTGAGAGTGTCTAGACCGCCGACAGCAGGTACCGACAAAACGCGCTCCGACGCCGGCACAAGTCTACGGAGCTACGCCCGAGATGTGTGCTACACACGGCTAACATGGAGCAGCCAGCGCAACGGCGTCACAAGGTCGAACCCCTTCACCTGTATACCGCAGCTATCGCTGTTCTCTCTCACCAAAAAAAAAATACAGCAGCAGTGTTTGACCCTCATCAACACACCATCCTTGAACAAACCAAGAACGACTTCTCGACACGAAACCAGCGCCGACAACCAAATCATAGTACGGTCTATCGATGCACCTGCGGCGGAAGAAGTCGGCGTCGTGCTCGACGATATCGGTGCTCTAGAATATGACGTGTTGTGGTGTGTAGCCTGGTGGGTGCGGGCTGGTGCTCTCGATCACAGCAGCACGCAGGCAACATTCAAACGAATATATTCAAATGAACCCCTGATTTGTGTATAGGTAGACCTCAGCGTAGCGCATTTCTCACTGGCGCCCCGACAGCACCCACTACTAGGAGGCCTCGACCAACCGCAACATCGCTGGCGTACTTGGAGCTACTGCTGGTATCATGCCGAAGGCGCGTTGAAAACACGAACGCGTTGTTGACGGTGTATGTGTGCGCCGACGAACTTTGAATCCGGTAACTTTTGTCCTCTCCGCTGGTGACGCCTGGTGACGCCTGAGGGGTGAGGGTCGATTCCTTCGCCCTACCTTCTATGGAGCGGGAAATCCTTTGAACTCACCTTTAGTCCGGGCGACGTGCCCCCGACGCTGACGGAAAGAGGCAGAGCCAGGCAGGTCTCTGCGTGTGTGTGTGTGCGAGAGAGCAGACAGAGCTGTGCTGTGGTCGCAGCCTGCACTCGAAAATGCGCGAAGATTTGATAGGGCGAACTGCGGACCCCCCGGTAAAAAAAAAACGCGGGGGCGTATGCATACCGTACATGACGTAAGACACCATACCACCATCCGTGGGCCGATCTTCAAAGCTCGACTACGCCACGATCAAGAGGATGGATACATCAAACAGAACGGTTTCAGAAAGCTTTCAACGAGACGGTTGTAACGCTGCCATATTTGAGACGGTTCCTATGCGACCATTTTCGGCACCGCCCATCACTCTAAGACTTTCTGCTGTGAATTAACGTGCGTCGTTGAAATTGTGAAAGTCGCTCTAGCTAGGGTGTGTGATATCCCACCTCACGTATAGAATAGACGGGACGAGGCAGTAGGATCGATTTCCCGGGGCTACTCAGGGCAGGATTCGTCGCGTACCGTAGTCAACTGTGTGGTGGAGGCTTGCGAAATTAAAAAGGACGACGAGAGAGCAAGAAATTGGGAAATAACATACACACCCGCGCGTGCTGCCACTACTTCAGCTCACAAGCCTTACCTCGAAGCACTAAAGAGTGTGATACGGATTAAAACCACAGAGAGCTCGCCGTAGTAATTTTCGACAGAAGCCAACACTGCAGCAGCTCACTTCTGTACTACAGTTGTATTTGTACTCCTAACAGTCCTAACAGCGCCTTGGGGGATGTACGGCGGAAGCAGACCGTGGTACGAAAATAATGCAAGCGGAGGTCCCTACTTAGTGCCTGCATGTGCCCAGAAAATGACCGGCACGATTTCAAGTAAATGAAGAACAACTCTTGACATTTATTGTGCGTCCCCCGAAAACACTGGCTATTCAACCGGCACCAAACAGGGACCTCTACTGCAGTACTTAGATGTCGTGCAAGACCGACGTGCCAAATTGTTCATTTTATCCTTCCTGCAGATTGCTGGTCATATCAAATACCTCTGTTGTCTGACCCTCACTACGGTCAAACCCAGTACCTGCCAGCACAACCAAGAATGCCTTCCGCCTAAGCACCGACGGGCAAAACGCGCGTCATGCTGCAAGCGCAGCGTAAGCCTCGCCTTTGCATACTTTGGAAGGCCGACGTGGCCCATCGAGGTGGTGCCGTACATTACGAGGGTATCCATCTCGCCTTCCCGCATCCGGGAAAACAAAGCATGCAGGGCCAGGAACGTGCATTCATTTACAGCTTATATACACAGACGCACAGCAATATCCCCCCTCTCCCTCCTAAAAAGAAATCGAAACAATGTCGTGTTGCAGGGTAGCGAAAAGCAAGACCTGCCGCCAAACCACGCGAAAATTAACTCGTCGGAAACCAGCGGAACGAGGAAAAAACAGCTAGTCCTCCATAGATCTTCGAATCGCCTCCGCAATCAGCTCGTCTTCCGTCATCTCCTTTCCCTCCTCCCCCGCTTCCCCGCCCCCTTCGGAGGCCGGGGGCACCGCCGCCGCTGGTGCTGCTGCAGGTGGTGGCGAGGGAGCAGCACCAGCAGCAGGGGATGGTGCCGCGGGAGTCCCCGCCTGTCCGCCTGCAGGGGGTGCTTGGAAACCCTGTGCGGCGTTGGGTGGTGCGGCGTTTATTCCCGCCGCGAGGGCGCCTCCGAAATCCATCTGGGCGGCTCGCTGAAGAGCGGTAGGGTCCTGCATCATCTGTTGGGCCATCTGAGCCATCGCCGGGTTGTTTTGAATCGCTTCGAATGCCTGAGCCAGTCCGCCCGGTCGGGCCATCACGGACTGCGGAAAGTGTAGCGGGCGAAGGGGCGAACGGACAAGAGGTTTCGGAGCGTGAAGATTACATGCAGTAGAGGCAAAAAAAAAACAAGCGCGAGACCAATACAGGGGTGCAGCAATAGCAGGAAGCGAACCTAGCAAATACCCGGATGTCGCCAAAAGCCGTGACCTGCTACATACATACACGACCCCCATCCTTGCTGAAAACATCACACCCATAAAAACACACCTGCATCGCCGCCGCCATCTGCGGGTTACTCCTCATCATGGCCTGCACCGAAGGGTCGTTCATCATCCCCTGCATCACCGCCGGGTTCTGCGCCATCCTCGCCATCGTTGCCATGTCCGGCATCCCCCCTCCCCCCGTCCCGCCCCCGAACCCGGCCTGGGGAAACGCCCCGGGGGGAGGGAGCACCCCCAACCCCCCCGCGAAGCCGCCGGTGGACGCACCAGCAGCCGCCGGCGCTCCCGGGAGGGTTGCCAGAGCTCTCTGGATGTCTACGCGGCCGGCGGTAAGAACGTTCCAGGCCGCTTCGCTGGGGGCAAGGAGCCAGCTCTCTTGCGCGTCCCCGTGCTCGACGAATCCGAGGGCTCGCATGCAAGCCTCCCCGCCCGGCACCGCTCCAACCTGTACATAACGTACGGAGAGGAGGGGCGTAGCATGCAACGGGAAAGGTGATGTACTATTACATCGAGCAGGATGGCGACGGTGAAAAGAGACGCGGTTGACTCCCCGCAAAGTCGTCGGAAGCGTCTCGCCGAAGTACAGAAGCAAAACAATCCAAACGGTGGTGATGCGGACGTACTATTACATCAATACCCAACACAGCAAACCAACGATCACGTGCGCCCAACCGGCACGGCAGCATCTCCACACGAAACGTAAGATAACGCTTGAGACCGCGCGCCCCCACCCCACCTTCCGGCTGAACCCCGCGTTTGCTCTCTTGATCTTGCGGTACTTCTCCTCGGTCGGGTGTGCCTTGATGTTGTCGATCACCTTGGTAAGAGTCGTTAGGCACTCGCGCGCCACGCCCGCGGGCTGCCGAGACACCGTCGCCACGGCCTGCCCCACCGGGCTGCTGCTAACCGCGCCTAAACCCAACCCGCTCATCGATTGCGTGGCGGCCGCAAGGCCGGCTGCGGGATTCGGCGTGGCAGGGGACGCCGCCGCCGCGGCGGCGGCAGGCGCCGTCGCTGCGGCAGCTGCGGCAGGCGACGGCGAGGGTGATGCCCCAGGCGCTAACACTTGGACAACCACGGTAAGGCCATCCTTGAGCTTGCAATCTTGGAGGGTCTGGTCGTCCTTGTTGAGGATGCGCCCCTGGAAGATGATGCGCTTCGGCTCGACGTCGAACTGCGACCTGTGGGGTCGGCGGAGGGGCGAGAGGCCAAGAGGAGGTTTCTCATCCGGACGACGCGTATCGATCAAATCAGTGTTTTCTGGTTGCTTGCCACGATTCACATGCTTACGAACGCTGGGTAGTTTGATGTTGTCCAGTTTGTCTTGAATACGACGCGTGTTGAGTAAAAAGCAGACGTGAATGAACGTCTTTGCTTGTAAGCTCTCGGAGAGTACCCAGCGGGTGTACAATATAGGGTATCCACTATGGATTGACGCGGAATTTTGACCTTTGAGGATTGATGCCAACATAAAGTACCGGTTGAGGGTTTTGACGGGAAAAAAATTCGCACCGCGTGTGCCCGTTGGCACGTGGGAGGGAAAAAAAAAAATGGTGATGTAGAGTTGATGCGTTAAACGCCGGTCATGTGTTCACGACCCCGGGTTGGTTCGGGATGCCACCCAGGGACGAAATGCTGAAGCGAAGACTCACACTCCCAGGCTCCCAGGAGACTAGGTGTACCCCTCCGCCTCATCCCGCCGAACTTCCCTCTTTTGCCGCGGCGACTTCCCAGGCGTCAAACTGCCGTTGCTGAGTGAGGCAGCTGCTCGCTGTACTGCTGTGTACCGATGTCACTGCGGCAGCAGAGCACCAAACCCCGTGAGGGGGCGGGCGAAATGCACCTACTGACTGGCCAAGTCCGTGTACCCTCCCTTAATCCTCTATATGTGCTCCCTTCGAGGGCGGGACTCCCCCGATTACTGCCTATGCCCCTTTTTGCTGCTGAAAGCCCGTGCGCAATCGCGATGGCTCATCTACCGAACGCGCGCGCCGAACACGCGAGTCCGGCCACTGGGCCGCCGTGAGAACTGCCGAGACGTGTGTGTGCAGGGCCGCTAGGAGCAATCAGTAGGCATGGCCAATGTGTTCGCTGCTGACCGCGCTCCTTTCGTGATTTGGTGATGGTAACAGAGCACAGAGCAAGCGTGTGTGAGCCACAGTCTGGCGACATTTGAAGTGTCAATCTCTTCGCGTCGGTTTAAGTTTTGACGCTTTTTCACCAAAATTTCGCCGTCAGAGTTTTTGCCTCCAAAAACGCGGCGTAACCTCGTCACGTCAAAACTTCCTGAAATGTCAATCTTTCACGTCATTTCAACAACACGTGGATTCCCTCTAATATGCCGTTGGAAAGGCACGGGAAAGACGATAGTACACTAGTTGCCTCTTGGCAAAACCGACTACCAAAAGACACCGCTGCAAACTTCCAGCCGTAGATGCCCCTACGACTACAATAGTGCTTGTGCCAAACACGCACTCACTCTGTGGGATGCTTTCCTCGTAGCCCTGCACGTCTGTACTAAAACACGAGGAAATGGCTCGTCTCAAACTGGGTCTACGCAGAGATTCAAGCAGTTTTATTGTACACAGCACGAGCAAGTGGGATAGTATTGCCAAGGAATTTGGCAGCAGGCTGCATACCGTGCACCCGCTACTATTCAGATCATGACACCAGTTGAGTATTCCATCTGTGTCACGCGACACCCGCCTTGCGCTACAGCAGTACTACTCCGTATACAGCAGTACATGCAGATAGATGCTGGGCGAACCTTCGAGAAGGGGGCACGTGGGCACCCTGTACTGCACTTCTACTCCCCGCTATGCATACGTTACAGTATTGCATTTCTATCTTGTGAGCCGAGAGGCTTAAGCCGTACCTGATAGCTCCCTTAAGCTCGCCAACTGTGCCCTCTAGAGATATCGAAACCTGCCCAGCAGCTTTGTCCGAAGACGTGAATTTCACCCCGATGGTTGCCGTAGCTGATGCCGCTGACACCGCATCTGCTCCCTCCGCCATTGTTGTTCTAGACTGCTGTTTACCGGCAAATGCAGTGCTGGGATACTGCAAAGGGAATATCTTGCAGCCGAGGAAAACTCAACTCGCGCTGTTAGGGTTTTGAACCTAGGCACGTGTTTTATGGACGTCGATAGAAGGCCTTTGCCCAGGCTCGTGGGTATGTGTGTGTGACTCCGCAAGAGAGGCAAAAAGGGGGCACGCGCAGGGAATAAATTAGAGTGAGGTATGGTTATTTCGTTTATTTTTCACCACGTACCCCCTCCCCGTTCCCGTCACCGTGTCGCACACACATAGTGCAGCAGCGACAGCCGAATTACAGCCAGACTGGCCTTGGTCACAGAAAAAGACAACACGGTATGACGTCTACGTCGAGATATCTCGGCCATCGCGCACTTCGATCGCTTATGTCGAGAACTGCTGCGGAGTCGTTGGGAACACAAGCGAGGCCGGCCCTGGGAGGTGCAGCAGCACAAACTCGCCGCTTTCAAGTGGCAGCATCATCGGCAAGCACCTCGTCAGCAGCAACAGAGCGTCCGCTGCTGGGCCGCAACCATCCGAGAAGTCGCTGTGAGCCAATCGTTGTTTTGTAGACGTCTAGCGTGTACATGCATGCGATTGCTGCTGTCGTTGTGCTCAATGAAGCTCCTCACAGTCTACGCCTGTTGAAGAGCACAGAACTGCAACAAGGGAGAGGACGAACTGCTGTCGTTTGTCTCGTTGCCACCCCACGTTCTTTCACCTTTGCAGTCAAGGCTGTGCAATTTCGTCCACGCACACACAAACCCGAACTACCCACTCCACCCCCGCCCTCGCACCGCACACCCAGCCCCCTGGCTCTCCCAACAGTCCCGAAGTTTTTTCATCCAGACGGAGCCAACGCCCAACCCCAACTCCCTCAAGTTCCTACCGGGCCGACCTGTGCTCCCCGCTGAACACGGAACGGGGGTGTACTTCACCCCCGATGATAGGGAGAAGAGGTGGGCAGGAGGCACATCGGGGGGGGGGGGGGGGGGGGGCCTCCTTTATTAAAATTTTTCAAAACATTTTTTTTCCACCCCCCCCCTATCCTTTTTACCTTTAACCAAACCATCCCGGTAAAAAAAACCCTTCTTTTTTGTAAAAACCCCAAAATAATTGATCCTTCCACCCTCTTCCCACCATTTTTTACAAATTACAAAGTTTCTTTTTTAATAAAAAATTTTCCCCCCCAAAAAAGCCACCCCAAAAATAATCTAAAAAAAAAATAGCCCCCTTTTTTCCCTGCTTTTCCATCCTTTTTTCTATTCCCAATCATCCACCCAAAAAAAAAAACCCTACAACACCCCCTTTTCCAACCAAAATACACCTTCCCCCACC